ACCAGGATGTGGAAGACCATGGAAATAGCCACAAAGCCCCTGTGCGTAACATTAAAGATTAAAAAGCTGTCATCAACAGCTAAAAAATAAATAAATAAATAAAAGTCTGTCAGGAATTGTTCTAAACACCTCCAACATTCAGCATGAAAGAGAATTCCAAAAATTGGGAAGACCTTGAAATTATTCAAAGAATGAAATAGAGCATTCAGGTCACTTCAACTCCCGTGGTTTGGGACCATTATGGCCACTCTGTATAAAACAGCACTGAGCATTCTGGAAGGTTCATTCAAACAAGTTTTGCTTACAAGGTGCTAGCTTCTGTGTTACGTACCAAGACCATGAGGTGAATAAGATCTTTTTTTTACCTTTTTACTTGTATCATATTAGCAGTTCACTAATAAACAGAGCCACATATTGGGTGCCATGATAGTAGTTATATGTTTAATAGCTGTGACAAGTACTCCTGTAGGTTCCTGAGGTCAACTGGTAAACTCCCCAAAATCTCTGCCTTCTTGAGACTGTGGTCTAGAAGGGGATCCTGACCACTGATGGGTTACCTGAAACATGCTAGAGGGGAAGTCAGAGAACGCTTCAGGGATAGGGAACGTGTGAACTGTCTGGAAGGACAGTGAGGGGTTTACCAGCTAGCTGGGGGTAGGCGCGGAGAAGTGGAGAGCAGAGGAAATGAAGGTGAGAAAGACAGACTAAGTACTAATTGTAGCTCACAGGGTTGATAATTCTAGTTGTGTTTTTTTGATACTAAACTCAGCTTCCAACAGTCCTGGAAAATTATGCTGAAGCAGCTAAGACCTGCATTGCTTCAAGTAGCACTTAAAGAAAATGTGAATGTCACAGCAGTTAGATTACACAGCTGCGACCCAGGACACCCACAGGGAGAAAAGGCCGGGAGAAGATGTCATCTCACAAGTATGGCTTCTCTGACCATAACTACTTAGAACACTCTAAGTTCTCTTTTGAACAGGCAGTGACATTTTCGTGCTCGGGCTGTTTCTCAGAGAGATTGTGAGAGCCCCCGTCTCCACAACAAAAAATTAAAACTAGTCATTTTTAAAGTAATTGCATGGTTCCAGCCATATGCTCCCCCCCCTTTGTGAGTATCATTCACTTAGGATTGGCATAATTCCCCTCCTAAATTGGAGGTTTGCATATGTAATTATATCAAATGATGTGTTTGTTTATATCTCCAAACCACATTCAAAAGCTCGCCTATGATTTATCTTTGAAATTCAATTTCATCATGTCAGTCCCCAATTTACTGTGCCCAGTGGGTCTTCAGTTACATGTGTGATGTACCGGCCTTCTCTCCTGCAGAGATTACACAATGGGGTTTGTCTTCCATGGTGATGCATCAGAAGAGCTGAAGAGAGAGAGAGGGTGCTGTTTTCTTCTCTGCCCTCTTTTAAGGCCCACCTACATTCAGCTACCACAGAATTGTTAAAAATGAAGATGCAGCATTGGCTATTTTGACGATTTCCTCTGAACCATGAGGATGGCTCACTGCATTCCCTTCTGACTGAAAAACAGAGCTGCTGAGTACCAGAGCTCATCCAAGTATGTCTCTTTAGAAGAGAGCTCTTGCCCCTTCTTGGTGTAGCTGGTTCCGTCTTGATAACAAGGATTATTTCCTAGTACAAATAACTACCAGTTGTGGCTTTAACCCCAAAACGTCCTGTTCATTATTTTTATGTCCCTGACTCCCCGTGGACAAACTTGATTACCCCATTCATCCCAACCCCTCTTCATGCCTGATTCCTAAACTAACTTATCCATCTGTTCATTCATTTATTTTTAAATGTCTGTCTTCTCCAAACATGAGGAGCTTGTTAAAATCTAAAAGGCAGAGTTTATGATCTCCTCCTGATTTTTAAACAGCTTTACTGACATGTAATTTACATGCAAAGACATCCACCCATTTGAAGTATACAATTCAGTGGTTTTCAGGATGTGTATGGAACTGTGCAACCATCACCTCAATCTGTAATTTTAGAGCCTTTTCATCACCCTGGAAGAAACCTTGTCCCCACGAACAGCATTTCCTGTCCTCCACCCCACCTCATCTGATTTCCCACCAATTTTCACTTTTGACTTAGATTTTTTTTTTTACCTGCCTTTTACCGTCTGTCTGTGAAAATAAAGATAACGGAAACACAGAGAACTAAAACCTACAGAGGTTTTCCTGCCTTTCTTCCAGGAAGAGAGACTGCTTGGATTTCTCATGGCTCCAGGTTCACGGTTGTGTGTTTCAGACTTTTCAGGAAGGCTGTCTCTTTCTCCGTTGGCTGATAAAAACGTGAAAAACACATCCTGTCACGGGATGCCGATGACAGGGGAGCCACACTGCTCTCTCAGTCCCACATAAGCATTGTGCAAATAAGTGGCTTTCCTTAAAAAAAAAAGAAAAGAAATCACCCTAAGACGAATCAGGAGAGGAAGGCTGACCTCTTCCCTGTGCACAGGGGGCCACGGCTGCCTGACCCAGTGAGGATGGGACACAAGTGTCCTCGGAGGGACAGAGGGCAAAGGGGTTCTGGTCTTTTGTGCCTGGAAGAGCAACAGGCACCCAACAGAGTGAAGGCTGATAGCCCTTTCATCCATGTATAGCTTCCCTCTAACAAGTGTTTCTCATTCTCATTGTGACCTCTCACAGAGCATGCCCCCTGAGGAGGTGGGGAGGTTCACAAAACCTTCCCTTCCCTTTCTGAGAAGACAGTTACTTCTCACTTGGAAAGTGCCATCATGATATGTGACCCTGTCGGATAGAACGGCCTGGAAGTGAAGGCGTCAGATTTGTGTGTGAAACACCCCTTGGTGTGACCACACTGACCCTTAGTCAGTCCAAACCAGAGAGCTGTGCTCCCCTTTATTCCTCCTTTATCACGTCAGCCGCCCGGGCACTCACACCATCTCTGTCTCCCCCTCAATCATCCCCGACCCCCCATACACACTGAGCCAGATGCTAAAGCAGCTCGATGCATTTCATTCCTGGATGTGGCTGGGCAGAAAAATTAATGTTAATAAAAAGTCATGCTGAGACTCAACAAAGGAGAGTGAAATGGCACAGAGCCTTCTTTTAGAATTAGAGAACGCGTTCAGACATCAACCCAAGAGACTTGGACACAGTAAATGAGGGATGGAGTGGGGCACAGAATTTGAGTTTTTGAGTTTCCCTGGGGGGACTCTTATGGGCAGCTAGGGAAGAGAAGTTACTGATTCTCCCACTTGAAATTCTTGATACCAGTCTTCTCTCCGAAATCTCAGACAGTAGCTCATGTCTGTATCCCAGAGTACCTAGCACTGCCCCACTCACACAGAGGCACTCAGTAAGTGGTTTCAAATGAATACAAGAAGCATGCACCCCCAATCCACCTACAGATACTCTCTTGGCACACAAAACAGTACCTTCCTGAACAAACACATTCTAAGTCTGCAGCGAAACTGAAGACTAGAATATAAATAATCTCCTCTACAGCAACTTTTGTCAACTGAGCATTAATGAAGTTCCCATTCTTTGTTGTAGGCCAGTGGCTAGGAGGGCGGCAGGGCTTCAGGATGAAAAGGCAGACCCTTCCCATGAAGGAACTCTGTCAACTTGTCTAGTGGGGAAATACACACACGTGAACAATGGATTATAGCACAGAGCAAAGAACCATGATGGAAGAGTACACTGGTTGTGTTGGGACGTACCAGATGGGCACCTAACCCTGGAAGACAGGTCACCTCTCTAACATCTGAGCTAAGTTTGAACCATCTAGAGGTGAAGCAGTGGGGGTGGGGCATGTTCCAGAAAGAATTCATGGAAAGGCAGATCATTTGCACAGTGGGAACACAACTTTCCCTCCCATGGGGAGTGTGGACAGATGAGAGTGAAGGGGACTGGGGCCACTTTGTAAAGAGCCATGCTACCCCCAGTGGGATTTTATTTTGAAAGCCATTTCACCTCCTGGGGCCTCTTCTTGGCTTTCTCTAAAGTCTGCATGCTCCCACCCACCACGTACGTGTAAAACAAAAGCTGAAGGTCATGAATTCCTCAGCAGATCTTGGTAAAATGCCTTTTCCATACTTCCCATACCTCACTAGTGTGGGGAGTGAGCTTGACATGTGATATTCCCTGCTCTTTTCCGTCCATCAGCACAGGTGGCAAATCAGCCCCGTCTGTAGTCTTTTGTCTTCAGGGACAGTGTAGCACCAAGAAATGGAATATAAATTTGACCTCCTAATTGCCATTTGACAATAATAATAATAAACCTGCAAAAGACAAATTGGTGCAATAAGCTGGGCAGCCTTGAAGGTTGTGTCTTCTCATTGTCTTTTCTTTGTCTTTGTACTCAAAGGGGCGATTCATTTATGGGAAACACCATTCAAAGGAAAGATACAGAGATATTTCCCATGTGGGACTGATTTTGTGTAAAGATTTCAACACATAAAACAAAATGATAAAATTACAGTGTGAGGTCTTCGGTATAGAAGTTATTAAATTTGAAATAATTATGTGTACAAGTAGCTATTACCGAAGTAACCTTCTTTGTCAAGGGTAACAAAAAATTATATCAGCATTAAAAAGTTAAATAAGAAAGTGCTGTTTCATAGCCTGATTCTGATCAGCATCAACACCCATTAGTGTTCAAGAACTCTGAAATCTTTAATGAGGTTCTTGCTGTAGAATTTCCGTCATATGCAAATGAATCATTGAAATTCCTCATTATCAGGAGAACAATGGTCCTTCAGTGAGGTTTTACATCCCCGGGAGTGATTACAGTACCTAACTGAGGTAAACAGAACCAGAACAAATTTTTCAGGTTTTCTTCGTAAATTTTATTTTGTTTTAAGAATAATTCAGAGATCATCTTGATGGTCACTGGAGATGGGAGAGTTGCTCTTCCCTGTCATTTTTGCTTTTCCTTTAACTGGATTTGCTTCCCGTGCTCAGTAAGCTACTTGCCCTGGATATTTAAAAGTCAAATATTCTCATTTCTACGCAGGTCTGATTACAACAACGTCACGGAAATTGGATCGAGAACAGCAGGCAGAACATTTTCTGGAGGTAAGTGCGGAGAGGGAATGCACATTCATGAACACCGACTTTCACTAAACTTCTTTAACCTTCATTGTAAACTAGAACTTCAGCATATTTGAACTGTGGATTCCAAAATGAAGCTATTTCTCTTGGGCTGATTGGTTCTGACGGTGGAGATTTGTGGTTCATCCCTCCGGACACGCTCCTGTGTGCCGAGCAGGGGTGGACGAGCAGCCTTTGCCTTCCTCTGAAAACAGGCAGATGCATCAACATCTCTGCCTTGACTTCAGGCCCCTTTGTCAATCATCAGAAAAGAAGGTTCAGGAACAGAGCCCTGGGAGCCTCCCGGGCCCCAGGATGCAAAGAGAGAAAGCAAAAGCGCTGTGATCAGAGTGAAGTACATCGTTTGTGGAGACGCAAGTTGCTTTGCTTCTCATTTCCTTTCTGGGGAGAGGGTTGAGGAAGAGAAGCCTGCAAGCTGATTCACTGCCTGAGATGACTGTGTCTGAAACCGTAAAATGTACTCCTATAATTCATTAAGACAGAAACAGCAACAATATAAACTGTAAGAGTGTTATTTATGGAGGGGGAAAAAAAAACACCATAAGGCAAGAGATGAGAAAATAGATAGGAAAGAGCTTCGTGGAACATTCTTTCTATACATATCGAGTATCTTTATTGGGAAGCTTGAAGTCTGGATCATATGTATGGCACTGGGATTTCAGTGTGACAGTCTGATACAGAACAGATGACAATGCTTGGAAGTTAGGGCTTTGTTAAGGTTTTATCACACATCCGCGCTTCTAAAATGGTCTGTTAGTCCGTAAGAATCACTTACTGGAATCCGCATGTCCTACACACACACACACACACACACGCACACACATGCACACACACACACACTTCAAATCTCTCCTGTTGTTTTCCTTTAAATCAGTTCACCAGCAGTGATTCATTTAACAAGCACTGGACTAGGGAGTGGTGCCTAAGGACCCTGGACCTTCCCTGCCATGATTAGCTTGCATGGCTAAAAGCTGTTTAATTGCCCTGGACCTCAGTTTCCCCTACTGTGAAATGTGGCAAATAATTAGCACTCCATATACCTCAAAGGATTGCTATTAGGATCAACCCTTATATTTTATATCAAAGTACTTTTAAATCTCTTAAAGCATTATACATAATAAAGGAGTATTATTATTATCATGTAGCACTGTGATAATCCTTTTAAAACATTGCTATCATCTCATAAAGATGAAAGACTCCAGGCTGCCAAAAAATAATTATTATAATTCTTTTTTTGAAATCATACTACTGGGCTGCAGTTTGTATCTAGTCCAGAATTAGAGGACATTTGCCAGAACAATAACACCTTATATTATATTTATGTGCTCCTTTTCTTTGCAACAGAGGCCAGGACTCCTGGGGAGGTGGTGTTCTCAGATAGTTGAACCCATTACCTGCCCGCAGGGAAAAAGAGGGCATCTCATTAGCTGGGGAATCTGCCCGAGATCACTTACTGCCTTGTCCCTGGAAAGGGTGGTGTCTTCGTGGGGGGGTTGGTGCAGAGTGTGACTTTAGGGAAGAATGTTTTCCAGGCATTTGAATTTACTTCCCAGAAGAATCCTTAACTGTTTTGCATCCTTTACAGATTTACATAAATACCAAATATTTCCATCCTTTAGGGTAACACCAATGCATCTGGCTCATCATTTCTCAGTACCTGGTATTAATCTGCCTAGGAAAGTGGTGCCAAATAGCCGCTAGCCACCTCTGAGAGTTGTTGGGAGAACTATGTGTCTAACATCTGGTCTGGGATCTGGCACTAAGTAGGTGCTCAGTAAAGTGTCGCTGTACCTGTTGCAGTTTTGATTATTATCGTATAGTGTCATGATACCTAAACCTCCCAAACATTCAACTTCATCTCCACACTCCAGGACAGAGAGTAGCTCCAAGGCAGCTGACATGCAGAAAGGAGGCTCTGACAGCAGCCGCTGGACTTGGCCTGGGTCCCAGGGTCTGCCCTGCATGCTGGAGATACAGAGTAAACAGGGAGGGGCAGGGGGCACATAATAAATAAATAAAGGCTGTAAGTTCAGATACAAGCTCTCCGAGGCCACTCAAAGACATTTCCAGGATAGTGCCTAAAAGTGGGGCTGGTAGTCAACATCCAATAGACTGGTCCGGAGGGCCCCTTTGAGTAGGTGACGTTTGGTGACATGAAGCCAAGATTCTGTTCAAGGCCAGTGTGATCACCCAGGCCCGTGTGATTAAGGGTGTAAAGGTGGAGGTGGGTAAAGCTGATAGGAAACGAAGTTGCACAAGGCAAACAGGGCTGTACTAACGATGATGCATTTTTTCCTAAGTGCAGTAGAAAGCCAGTAAGCCAGGGTGACGTGATATGCTTGCCAGTGTAAGCTACTCAGCTGAGCAGAAATGGGCTGGGGCAGGGCACAGGTAGTGGGGAGACTCTGGGGGCTTTCTAGAAGGATCCATGTGAGACATGATGATGGGTTTGGATGAAGGCTGTTAACAAAATAACTAGAGAAGACAGTTAAGGTTCTAGAAACAAACTTCGGCACTTCACAAAGCAGACTGCCTCCACTCAGTAGCTGCAAAGTGGGGTGGAAGGCAGGAAGCTTTCACAGGTTGAAGAGTAAAGAACAAATAAGAGAAAAACTGAAAAATATCTGACTGGCTGGGGCCACATAGCCCATAGCCAACCTTGTTTGGGGTGAGAAAGAACAAAGAAGTAAGGATAGAGCCCAGAGTTGGCTTGGCATTTGGGGACTGACTGACTGGATATCCTTTGGTTCTGGTCAAGCAGAGCGTTTCTGGAGGCACAAAAGTTATCTAAGTTTCGGTTTGCTGAGGTGGCACCTTGGACAGCAGTGGTTCCATCTTGGGCCTAGAAATTTATTTCAACCACGGTAAAGGCAGTGGGTCTAAGGGAAGGGTCTGATACAAACCCCATCATGATTCTGGCCAACAGGCGGCACGCTGGCTTTTCTAAATTCTCAGAATGGAGCTCTGAAACACCGTGGGTCAGCCGAACCAATCTGACTGGCCCCAAGCACCCACCATCGCTCTGCACGTCTCCCAGGATCCCCATCATTTGTGCTCTTTCTTTTAGTCACCTCTGCGGCTGAGGTTTTCAAACACCAGCTAATCTCAGTCTCCCTCACTCTCCCCCAGTCTCTCCATCTCCCTTGCTCTCTCTGTCTCTCCCATGCACACTAACTCTTGCTCTCATCTTCTGAATTGTACAGTCCCTCGTCACGCTATTTTTTCCTGCATAACTTGGCTGTGACATTCATTTCTTTTTTTCTGGACGGACCATGGAAAGGATATTGCTTTAACTCAGTCCTCCAAAAACTGAGCAAAATAATACCATTCAGAGTGCGGAATAGAGTTCTCTGCTGTACACAGATTTTTGTAACTGCTGGTACATTGTATTGTGTGAGTTTTAAATGGTGGGTGTGGGTAATTAACCTCCTGGAGAGCCTTTAATTGCCAAGATAACCCTGCGCTCCTCTTAAACTCATATTAACCTTCTGGCTCTATTTCATATCTCTCCTTCCCAATAAAACAAAATTGACTCTTCTTGAAAGGAATCATTTAGAGGCTGACCTGGTAGGTACACTTCTGAATGGGTAACCAGAAGAGCATTGAGGATTTGTTTCTGGTTTGCTATCCCCATGATAGAAGGTGCTTTAATTGTATACTGCTGGTACTCTGCCTGTACATTGAATTAAGATATTTAGCTTGACCACGTATGGGCTGTAAGGGTTTTTGAGTCTGTAAGCATTCACTTTCCATCTCTGATGATAAGAGGACAGTGGTCACTATCAGAATCCAAGGGATTTGCTAAAGAAAGAAGAGCAGCGAAGAACTGTAGGAAGATTCACAAGTACAGCTTACTCTTTTTTTGGTGAATTCTAAGTGTTTACTCTTGCCTAATTTGAAGTCTGTTATGTGTAAACATTGGAGTGGTCTTCTGTCCCTACTATAAAATCCAAAAATATGGGATTTTTAGCTCACTTACTCTAAGTCATATACATTCCTCGATAGCCTTTTATGATTGTAGCAGAGGTAGAAGGCTAATTCGGGCAAACAGATGCAGGAAGTGATAACAAATGCATAAACTAAATAGTGAATTAATGTTTTAGCTTAACAGTTATGACTTTAGCCCCCCTCACTATCAGAGAAGACAGCTGCGAAAAAGGAATCATTGCAGGCAATAAATGCAGGGATCGTTGACCCCGTTCCCGCATCTGGAAGGTGGGGATAACAATCCCTAACACAGACTTGGTGTGAAGAGTTATGGGTTGACAGGTGAAAAGTGCTCAGGACGCCGACGGTCAGCCAGCGAGTGTTCTGTGAACGGGGGCGGCTGTTGTCAGTTCTCTGTCTTCCTTATTCTACCCTAGATGAGGTGATGGATGGCAGTTTAGGACACCATGAAGTTCATGGGCTTGGAGACAGAAATAATGGAATACGCTGCCTCCTTCCATCTGCATTGCCAAGTTAACTTTGATCCCCCATTTCCTTATCTGTAAAGCAGGGGTCAGTGATCCCTACCTCTTCGATGAAACACGCAGAGGGCCCGGCACACATAGACACTGCTAAACCGTTGTCTCTCCCTCCCTCTTCCCCATCCCCACCCTTCTCCCCTTGTCCTCAACAAACACCTTCTCAATTCCCTTTCTTTTTCAGTCCTGGCCCCAGTATTTTGAATAGCTTAGAGCAGTTCAATTATTCTTAGAAGATATAGCCACTTAAATAATCCTATAGTTCTGGCTTAATTATGTGTGAATCTTTATCTTGCATGCTGAAAGAGTATTATTTGCCTCCCTTTTGATCTTGAAATGCTTCTCTGTTCAGGGCTGGATGGTTCTGATAAAAGTCTTCCAAAGAGAGCAGAGAGCGTGATTTTATTTGCAAATCAGAAAAGATGACAAGGCCCAGTAACCAGCATAAAGACAAGGGATGGGAAATTTTGTTGTGTGTGTATAACTTGAAGTAGTCCA